ACAAGACCTGTTGTGACCCTATGTACTTAAAGTGAGTTTTCCATGGTAGCCATAAACTAAAACTGGAGATGTTTCTGATGCAGATTACAAATCAGTACCGCCACTAACAGTTCAAGAACTCATATTCAGTTATGGAGTGGTCACAGTGTTTTGACATACATGTACAGTATGTATAAAAAAGACAGTGGAAACAACAACAAAATTCTTTTTGAACGTGCCAGATCTGAACAATCAGACTATGAGATCTCTATTTGCTAATTATTCTTCTGCACTTTGCAGAAATATCTCTCTGTGATTTTGTCTAAACATTATTTATTATAAAAATAAAATGTAGTATATAAATATGAGTTTAACATCATTTGATATGACAAGATAAAATATGATAAATATATAAAGGAGATTAATTACAGGACTTCCTATAAAATACAGAATACGTGTTTATTTTGGACAAAGAAAACCAAGGCTGTATTTGAAGAGATGCAATTAAATGCATATATTTAGATTATATTGTCATGCTAATTAGCAATGGTAGGAACCAATTAGGACTAGGGCTACCAAATCACCAGACTACACTGCATATTCGCTAGTATACCTTTACTGCTCTACTGTTTTTTGCTGGAGGCAGATAAAAATGAAATTACTTCTTTTCAAAGTCCATATTGTTGTGCATTTTGAACCAAATGTTGTTCATTGTGCTTTCATAAATTGTCCCGCAAAAGTTACTGGAACTACTTGTGTGAGAAAGACAGACTCTGGCTATAGGAAATACATGTAGCTGCTTTAGGTAGCAATTAAAGAAAAACACAAGATGCAAAAACCCTTCCTTTGATTCAAATGGCTATTGTTTGAATAAACGAGGTCAGTAATCTGTCATTTGCAAAATGCTAGAAGTGAGATTTTCATTAAATACACTGTGTCAATGACATGTATTTCTCAACATTACACACCTCATTTATCATTCTGGAATGAGGACCGAGCACCATATGAATGTAGAGTTTGTGAAGGTATCGCCTCACAGCCCTGGAGGCTGATGACCCCTCTTTATCTACACAGCAGGTAAGGCACAAACAGTGGCAATGTGAGCTCTCTTTGCAGTCCCCTGCCAGTGTGCCTGACTGCTAAGCTGGGGAACAAAGGAAAGATAGCATATGGATAGCAGATTGTAGGAGCGCTGAAAGAGGACTGAGGAAATCTATGTTGGGTGTGTGGCTCTGCCAAAGATCTCTTGTATGACTTTGGCCTTGTCACTTAATCTCCTTCTGTCTCCATTCCCTTTGCAAGCAGGGGGAAGGCGTCTCTCCTCTCCCCCAGGCTTTGCCTGGAAATCTGTTCAGAACCTGAGTTCTCTTGGACAGTGTGCTTGTGCAGCATGGCGTGGAGTAAGACTGAGCTTTATTGGGTCCTCTAACTGCTGCTGTCATCCAAATAATAAGAATTACTATTAATAGAAGAGTAACAAAGAAATCCATGTCTTGGGGATAGATTTTACTCATCTTTTCAGGCCATTCAGTCTGTGGCCTCTGGGTGAAGGGTATGAACAAGGCAGGCAATTAGTTCCAGGAGCAGAGCTGTGAATTCTTTTACAGGGTTCCAAATAGTGGTAGAAATACTGGCATTGGTGTTCTCTTTTTTCACCTGTCTCTTAATGCCTTTTGAAGATATTTATGCCAAAATAACATCACAGTGTTTCTGCAACACACGAACTGAAGCGCAAAGGGCTGTATTTTGCTTTATTTTGGCCTTGGAACTGGCTCCCTAAGGGATTAAAAAGATAACTCTCAAAAAATGTAAAGGCTAGGGTAGGGGCTATGGTTTCTATGTCTCTATTATGCACTGTGCATATTTATGGGGCAGTATAAAGAATAAATAATCTACAAACACTGCATTCTGTGCCCTTGTCTACCAGTTGTGCTGATGCATTATGTGATGCAGCTACTGATAGTGAAACTAGGATCTGATTTTTAGCTTCACCTGAAATGTATGCCTGTTTTGCACCTGCAATTTTGCAAATATAGATAATTTCCTATGTAATTTTTCAGTCATACCCATCGGTGGGTATAACTGATGCCATTTATGGACAGGATTTTTCACAGGAGCCGTAGAAATGGAATTTCAAATTGATCTGGATGCCTGAAGCCTCTGTGCTCCTATAACTTTCTAAGTACATGACAGTGTATCTTCTCTTCAGACAAAGTATTGCTGGTCTAGAGGACATCATTTGCACCTGCAGTTATGCACATGTGAAAAAAAAAAAAAAAGGAGAAATAATGAAATCAGGAATCAAGCCCCAGTGCTATTTTTTTGCAAGTTTTACTGGACAAATGTGATCACTTTTATTGCTATTTTTTTCTGTAGGGAAACAAAGATGTGGGGACTCACTATTAGGGCTTTAACTCCCATTTCCAAAACAACTAGTGCATTGCCTCTGTGTGGAGTTCACAGTGAAAGGCTGGCTTTATTCACATCAGCGGAATAAAATAAGGCCAAGCTCTTCTGAGAGTGAATGGCTGGGCAAGACTGGGTTTTCAACACCCGTCCCAAAAGGCTTACTCTGTGGTGGCTGTCGAATATGTAAGGCTGGAGTGGAGTATCCCAATCTGCATGCTCACAGAGGTAAAGAAGTTGTCACCTGAAACCCTTCAGGACTTAAAATTTTCTTAATGCTCTGCCTTGTTGTGCGAGCCCATTGAAAGAACACTTCAGAGGGCACCCATTTCTTACTAATGTAAACTTTCTGAGGAGTATCCAAAGATATGACCTCTGAGTGAACCTTTAACCTTCCCCTTAATTATTTGTTTGAAGACAGTGTCGAGTTCTCCCGCTGAGAGCCAAGGCCCATAATGCTTCGCAGCCCTGTGAGCTGGGGTGTATGCGCAGGGAAGTGGAGAGGGACATAAATAAGGGGACCACCAGATGTAAATAATAAAAGTGGTTGGGGTTTAAATAAAAAACGAAAAAGCAATTTGGTTTCCCTGAAGAGTGGCCTGATTGAAGAAAAGGGGTTAGTAAGACGGAAAGTGTGTGCGTGTGTGGGGGTGTTTCTGTTGTCTGTGATTTTTTACAGGCCTAAATAAGCGTTCATTCCATTCTTTAAAACCTTGCCATCTGTATACACCATTAGAAGCTCATAGAAGAAGAGAAAACAGTCTTATCAGGCTTTCCTGTTAATCTCTATTGGCCTTAACTTTAGCTGATAAAAGGCACGCAGGATGGAGGAGGTTCAGGTCAGGCTCCATTTGGTCAGCATGGTAACGTTACTGGAAAGTAGCTCAGCGAATTAAGACCTATATCAGGGACCTTTGTCTTTGAGGATGGAAATCCGCCTCGAAAGCACAGCGCTGGGGTAGGAGATACCTTCACTATGCCGCAGTTAGAAAGGAATAAACAAGTACATCGACTGTGTCTGAGTTTTTATTTTAATACCTGAAGTCATGACTAATTCTGAGGCAGGATGACATTTCTGACAACTGAATTATACTTTTCCTAAAGAATAAAGAATGTCTTTTGGATGTAAACAGAGAGATGCAAAAGAGCCCTTTAGTGTTACTTGTAGCATTTATGCATCTGTCTAATGAAATTTCCAGAACTGTGATTATGGAAGATGCACTCAAAGGTGTGCCGGTGTCTTTTTTTATCTGCGGAGGAATTTAACCGGGGGGCTGGAGGGAGAGAGGGAGGGAGGGAGGGAGGGAAGCATGACAAAAGGCCTTGCAGAGTTGATGCTACATAAAGGCTAGCAATTTACTAAATGAGCAGATGAACTTAGTTTTCAGTTAACTGACTGAAAGACTTTGCTAGGCGTTGGATCGGGCCCAATGGCAATTATTGGAAGCTGTTTTGGGTGATGGGCATGTTAGTATTTCTGAAGAGGATTAAACACTAGTATTCGACTTCATTAACACTCCTTAAGGGTCACCAGCCGAAAGCCTGAGCTGTGAAATAGCACACAAAACCTGCGCAAAGGCTCCAAAGTGTTCTCAAACACAAAGAGGGGGGACAAAAACAAGCGTGGCTCCTGAGTGATAGAAAATTGCCCATTTTGAAAGAAACGCTGTGAATAGGCAAATTTTTAAATTATTTGAGGGAAATTAATTTGGCTTAGCCTATGCTGATGTGGATCGCTGCGCATTAAGCTAATAAGAAATACGCAAGCACTTATTTTTGGATTACAGCAAAATTAAATCCAGGCTCTGCAGCCAACTAACTGCCTTTACCAGCGCTCAAAAGCCTCGGCAACCGCCCCGGTTTGAGATAAAAAAAAAAAAAAAAAAAAAAAAAAAAGGTTATTTTGGGCCTAATATTAACCACATGTACCTGCGGCTGGGGCTTTCTAAGGAGTTGAAAAGTGCCTGAGTTTAGGGCGGGCGGTCGCCTTGCGCGGGGTGTCCCCGCTCGGCCGCAGAGGTCGGCCCCAGCTGGCACTGACCTCCAAACGACCCCCGCCTTTACAGGCGCCAACCGCAGGAGTTGCAGAAGAGCAGAAGTCTTTCTGGGCCGGCACTTATTGCCGCTGCGCTGGTGATAAAACTTCAGACAGCCTAATTGATGGCTTTGCTGACCTAACGATACCTTGTGAAAGCACAGAGTGGCAAAGCCTGGTCCTCATTTATGGCCAGCTGCAAGGGTAGCTGGATCCCTAGGATGGAAAGGGGAAAAAAAAGTATCCCAGCCTGTGAACTTTAACCAGGTTCTGAGCCGCTCGAAGAAGTTAAAGCAACAATTATCTTTTAACACAAGTTTTCAGTCACATTTTCTTGTTCAAAGCCTTCTGGCAAATCCAGCTTTAAACTGGCTAGTAAGATAAGCATGTTACTGGTTACAATTTCTGATCACTTAGAGGAAAATCCTTTAAAGTGAAATTATACTCTTATAAAAAAGCAATGCGAAGCAAAACACGTTGCCGCACCACGCTAAAATCCTGTCAGTTTTAAAGCAGAGGTGTTCTCAAAACACAGAAGCAAGCTGATGAAAGGACTTCTATTCTTTGTATTCTGTTGCAGGTTTATTAATGCCAGAAGAAGAATAGTACAGCCTATGATTGACCAGTCAAATCGAGCAGGCAAGTTCCAAGTAGTATCTGTATTCAAGTCCCACAGGCGCAAATCCTCATCAAGTTATTCTTCAGGAGTCCCATCACCTGGTAAATAAGTGCTCCAGCCAGGCATTCTGGGAGATATTTTTTTTTTTTCTTATGTCCCCAGAATTCTGCTGTAGGAAGCAACTTCGCTAATTGGTGCTAATTGGAGATTTCCCACCCTGACTCTACTGAAACTGCTTTTTATTTTCTCTCTGAATTGGTAATTGGGTACAAGTAGTAGTGCCACAAGCAGTTTGTTTGACTGTGAGCTCTTGAATTACTCATTGCTTGTCTGCATCCAATCAGCAGGACAATCTCATTTTCTTGCTACCCACAACTCCTTGGTGTATGCATTGCTTTCACTTCTGGAAGGCGAGCTGTAAAACTCATTGTATCCATTCATTTGCTTTGACTATTCACAATATGCTACTAATGCGACATGGTACCATACTGCCAGAAAATATTAAAAGATTATTACTTTTGTTTAAGAATGCACCAGATATGTTCCCAGTAAAACATATGATTTTTCTAACAATACCTTTTCTACATTTCTTTTAAAGCACTTGGAATACGTAACTCTTTACACAACAACTGGTGTCGTGTTAATCATTCCACTTTGTAATATGCATTTCCTCAGCATACTAGGGAGTTGTGGTTTCCTGCCATGAGGTTATGGGATAAAACTGTTCTCCATGTGGTGATGACTGTTGTCACTAACAAGGGCTTTAACTTGATGGTGATTTCGCCTGCTGCTTCACTTTAAAGGTTTTTGAAAAGGTTATTAATCCTTTGGGAAACTCTTCCCATGTAGCATTAAATTTCTTTTTCATTAACAGGTGAAAAAGGGGGAAAACACTAACACAGCTAGCCACGGCAAACATTAAGCCAAATACAAAGTGTATATGTAAATAGGAAAAGCCGTGTCCAGAATTTCCCTACTTGTTCTAGAGTAGGTGAGAGTGGTTTTATGCGTTTTATTAAGTTTCACCATAAGTACCCTGTATCACAGATGCCAGATTCGCACCTTCATGTAATTAGAGGGGAATAGAATAGGTACTTACTTCATTGGAAAAAACCACATAGCACTGCAACGGGCTTCCACTGTTTTGCATTAAAGGTAAGTAAAGAAACAGATCCTAAGCAAGTGAACTGACTTGACAAACTTGTTTATTGGACCCCCCTATAGCATTTTTATTCTAAAGTCCTGGTAACATAATCAGCTCATAAAAAGCACAACCTGAGTTTAAAGTGACAGCCAAGATATTGTATATAGCGTTTCAGTGCTGAAGCTGGAACAATTGCTGATTGTTTGGTATGTCTTCTCTTCTTTCTCCTCTGTGTCCACGATTGACTACAATCAGGTTTTCTTCTTGATCCTTCAGTGAGCCAAGGAGCAGCGTATAGTCCAGAGGGTCAGCCGATGGGAAGCTTTGTATTGGATGGTCAGCAGCACATGGGAATCCGGCCTGCAGGTAGAGCCTTTGTGTCCTCCTCTGCACTGCAGCTGTGCTAGCCTCCTCTACCCCATTGCTCTTCCCCCACCTCACTTGTCACAACTCCCTTCATCGTAAGGACTCACGTTTGCCTGTTGCCTGCCTTGCTTGTTTCTTCTGCATCTGGGATGGGGGGGGAGGGGGGGGGGGC